CCACCCCACAGTTGGCCCAGCCTCTTATAGACCCTTTTAGTTCTTTGTGTCCACCCTGATGTAAGGCTATGACTGGTTTGGGTTGTACATGAGCAGAGCCCCAGGAAATTCTTCTTTGGCTTTGGGCATCTTTTCTTGGCCAGGAGCCAAAGAGGCTAAGTTGGTCACTTGCTACCCAAAATATATTCTATTTCCTTTCAGTTCTGTGCTTAATTCCAGAGAGTAACTAAAATTGCTGGGTAAACACGTGCTATTTTTATTCCTACCTCCTATGTGCACCCTCCTCTTCCTCCAAAGGCAGCCTTCAAATCCTGACTTACACATCCACACCCACCCAGCTGTTGCATCGAAAAACTGGAAATGCTTTCCCTCCAGAGGAATGTTTACTTTAAGAGTCTGTCCCTTCCTGCCTCCCTACCCACCAGCTGACTCTCCCAGGATGAGGAACATGTTAAAAAAAGAGGCTTTGCTTTCTGTCCAAAGATACCATTGACTATTTAGAGACCAGTAACACATGAAGCCCTCGAGTATGACTTGTGCTTCAGCCATCGGAGGTGTTACCCCTGATTCTAGGGCTGCCCCTGCCCATCAGCACTGCTTGCCATCTCAGGAGACCATCTCCTTTGTCTTCAGGGCCCAGATGGCTTGCAAATGACTAACACATAGCAAATGCTCAGAAAAACCATTTTGAAATGTTGAACGGAGCTTGCACCATGCTGGTATGTAAAAACACAAACATGGAAAATCAATAAAATAGGAAGTAATTGTATTATAAAAAGTCTGTTTTTACATCATCAGTATTATTTTAAATTGCCGTTTCTCCAAGCACATGCACAAAAGTCACCTACATAAATGTGATTTTATGTATATTCTTGAACGCTACAGCCACAATGAACAGTGAGGCATCTCCGGATCAAGGTCCATCAATGTCAGTTTCTGGGAGGCTCTTTTCCTGGTTTGCAGACAGTCACCTTGCTATGTCCTCACATGACTGTTCCTCCGTGCACGTGTAGACAGAGTTTATACACCCTGGTTTCTGCCCCTTCTTCTAAGGACACTGGCTCTGGCAGATTAGAACCAAACTCTGATGACTTTATCTAATCTTACCTTCTCAAAGCCATACCTCCAAATATAGTCACATCAAAGCTTAGGGTTCAACACAGGAACTTGGGGGATACCCTTTAATCAGTCCCTACCAGCCTTGTACTAACTTGGTCTTCCAGGGACCAAGGGTCTACAGTTGTGTTTGCATATTACAGTCACCTGGGGAGATTCTTGTAAAGAAGGCGAGGGCCTGTGCTAATTCAATAAGGATGGAGCTTGGAATGTGTATTTGTAACTGCTCTTCTGGGTGGTTCTAATATACATCCAGTGAGAACCGCTATACTAGACAGCAGCTCAGCCAACACCTGAATATGCTTTCTGGGGCTCAGGTGGAAGGAGACTAGCTTTCATGAGGAGGAATGTGGGAGTATGTTTGGTGTCTGGGCAACACAAGTGTGTTGTGTAGACGTGTGTGGATAGGGTATCTTTATGTGTATACAGTGTGTGACATCTATGGATGTATGCAAAAATAAAAAACGTTGGCCTTGAGATAGTCTTCTCTCATGAGGTGACTTTTTTTAGGTTTGTATGCAACTTTCTCTTTTAGTTACTATTTTAAAATACTAATATCTTGAACAAATAGTATATAATTCAATTTGCATGTGATGTCTAAAATAAATTCATAGAGATAGAAAGTGAGAATAGTGTTCTCAGGGACTGAGGGAAGAAGAGTGGGGTTAGGGTTTAGTGGTTTCATTTGGAAGGATGAAAAAGTTCTGCAGATGGATGGTAATGGTTGCACAGCAGCATGACTGGACTTAATGCCACTGAACTGTGCGCTTGAAAATGGTTAAAATGATTTTCCAAATTTGATATTGTAAGATAGTGTATCTTCAAGTTTACCAAGCTGCCGTGACGTGGGTAACCTCACAGAGAACCCTGGAAGCAAACCCTTCCCTTCGATACTTCCAGGATAATCTCCACTTTCTGCTTGTGGATTATGGCCCAATAATGTCTCTACCTTTCTGCTCTCTACCCTTAACTAACTGCTCTCTAGAAGCTCCTGAGATTTTCTATATACCTGCTCACAAGACTCCACCTACATCCCTACCTACCTGAGACCCTCTTGCTCTCAGAACTAGTTCTTAGCGAGCCAGAAATTCTCATCTTTTTATTCCCGGCTTCATTCACCACTACAGCCTGCTCTGAGGATGTTTGAACAGCATGGGGGGTGTGCAAGGGAAAAGGAGGGTGACGAGGGGGGAGTTTAAGGGGTCTTTGAGGAGACTGTAAGTGTACACCGAGGATGAGAGATATGCCTTGTCCTCTAGTTCAGACTTTGCAAATGCGTGGCACTTAAATGACAATAGTTTAAGTGGCCAAAATGAATCAACTATTTTATTTATTCTTCAAAAAAGTATGGAGGAGCCACTATGATGAGCCAGGTCTTGTGCTCACAGAGTGGCACTGAGAGATTCTGAGAAGTACCAGACCATTGGAGGGATCAAACAGGCACTCATGGTAGACCTCAAGAAAGGCACATGCAAAATACAAATGTCCACTGTTTGGGTTGCAAGGGGAAGAAATTTACTGTGTTTTAAGCAAAAAAAAAGGTATTGGATCATAGGATGGAAAAGTCTAGGGCAGTGATTTTCAACCAGTGTGCCATGAGAGGATCTTAGGTATGCCATGAAAATTTTAAAAGATCATTAATTTATTTTCAAAAGAAGTTCAAAGCACAGTAAGCATTTTTTTTAACTCTTTTTCTGATCAACATAATTTAAGTGTGCCACAGAAGTTTAACTATAGCTTCAAGTATGCTGTGAGATAAAAAAGATTGAAAAACACTGGTCTAGAGCAAGATTGCCGTCAGACACGGTAACATCTTCAAAATGTTCTCTCATCTCTTGACTTTATAGGGTCTCATTCTGGGGAAGGCTTAGCTCTGATGGTAACCAGAATGCTCAGCTTACTTCCTACTAGTTTAGCAAATTCCACATAAAGAGATCTCGTTTCTGAGAGTTACAACTAAAATTTTAGAAGTGAATCTCACGGGTATGGTACCCAATCCTAGAGCTGAAGTGTTGGAGAAAAAAACAGGGGGTTGATAGGGATTGGATAGGGGTGGGGGACATGTTTCCCAGTGGGAACTCCAACTATTCTTATAAAAAGATGGTATGGACCCTGGTATGATTTCCCCTGGCCAGAGCAATTATTTTCCTCACTAAAGTGTGGAAGCTTAGATGAGGCAGGGGCCTGGTCGTAGGAAAACTGAAGTTTCTGAAAAGGATTAGTAACTGGTCTTTAAGATTTTAAGAATGGGAAGGATAAAATGGTTGTGAGAGAGGACCCACTCAGGGAAGGAACAGCATGAGCAATATGAATATTAATCAATGGTCTTTGATGAAAATTCTGTGTGATCAGCACACTTTCAGGTGACGCCAGTTGGTCCAGAGAGGATAACATGGATTGAAGCAGGAGAGACCCCCTCAGTCTGCCTCAGTTTTTTAGTAAAGATAAGATTTCCACAAAATGAGCAGAGCAAATAATAATGCAATTTGAAGTGACCTGAATGTCATATCACTTTGGTAAAAATTTACAAGTAAAATACCTGAAGAGCTGCTTTTAAAGTTGTGCTATTTCTCCGTTTGGAGTATAATTTGTCAAGTAAATTTGCTTTTGGATTATTTTTTGGTTTGGTTTTTTAATGTAAGGTGAGACAGGAGAGAGAGAGAACCTTCCCCACTGTGGAGCTCCTGATGAGCCCCATGTGGAAAACAGGCCTAGTGGTTTGAAGCAGAGTCTAACAGTATATAAGAAAGCAATACTGAGGTCTAAAACACAGGTATTTTGATTGACTTTCTGCTTTCCAAAAGACGATAGAGGATCACAAAAAAATTATTTATGAAAACCACAACCTCATGGCCTGCTTCAGCAGTTATTGTACGAGCATCCTTCCCCAGCAGAATTCTTGCCCCTAGTTAAAATATCTAAGGGGACCGTGTAATGTTAAATGCTCCCCGGGCTCAAATCAAGAGCCAGGCAACAGTTCTAGCCCTAGGAGCGCTTTAAAATCTCCAAAGTTCTTATTTAAATTTTTTAAATTCCTGATGTACCTACACGGTACATTGCTCGATCCACAATCGTGCAAACAGTGAATTTACATCTTATTGTACACTTCTAGTCTTGGGTTAAGTCTACACAGGAGGCAATTTTGATAAACATTCAATAAACCTTGTTCTTCCTCTCCACAAATGAAAAGAACCAGGAAGCAAAGAGATCAGTGAAACAAAAACAGCCAATATTTATTCTTGAATTTTGGTCTCTACTCCTTTCAGGCTTATTTTCATTCATACATTAAATATATAATAACCAACACTTTATTAATATACAAATAAAACATGCGCGGCATGTAAGCATGGTAGGTGGTGAGCGAGCCCGGGCAGCTGGTTGCTTCCTGCACCAAGGCTTCTGAAGTAGCCCTCTGTGGAAACAGGCGGCTGTGTCTGAACACCTTCTGTGGGTCTGTGCCATGCTGGAGTTAAAGAACATCAACCCGAGAACAGCATACACCCAGGAGTAAAGAAGGTCAGTAACACAGAAGCAGGTCTGTTCACAGTAAAGGACAAGGCTGGTCTTTTTTTCCCCCTGACACTCCACTTCTCTGACTAGTGTTCTAAATTCAGTGAACTACCAAGGGAGGCACGGAGGAAGGGACACAGGATAAGAGCAGAAAAAGCACAAATGGAATCCAGGAAGTTCTGTAATAGACAGCTGATCTCTCCTGGATGATAGGAAAACAGTATACAGAATATTTAATCAGCCCATCTTTTCCCAAAGGGAGAAAACGCATATATTTTTGGGAAGGCTTTTACAGAGAGGAAAAAATGTCGTGGGAAAATGAAAAAGATCTCTAAGGTCTGTAGCGCATGGACTATCTAAGAGTAGTAAAATAAAAATATTAAAGGGCAAGAGGAAATAGCTGTAAAAAATTATAAGGCATATCTTGGATGAAAAGTAATATCGTAGGATTAGACGATCGTTATTGAAACAGCAGTTGGTATATAAACTCAAACATTCCTTTTCAAACTCAGCTTCTCAGAGGTTCAACTTCGGATGTCTGAGTACTTTGAACATTATCTTTGCCTTTATCCTTCTTGATGCGGATAAACACAGCTGCTAAAATTATACCTAAATGAGAAAACGCAGGGTCAAATAGATGGAATCTTAACATGCACTGTCCCATTCATTTACAAAGAAGTATCCTGATAGGAAAAAATGACTCATATAACTTCATTTTTTGTTTGTGGTTTAACAAAGTTTCGTTGTCCTGGTGAATAAGGGATACTAAGCATTGGCTTCCTTGGATAAGTAAACTAATGACTTGTCCTGTCGGTAAGTATATACCAAGTCCCAAATCACATGGTGGGTCTCTATCTAGGAATAAAGAACCTAGTGTCCCACACAGTCTGTGCATCTGTCCTAAACTTTATATGTCCTCCAGTATTGATTCTAGTCTGTCTTTCTTCCCAGGCCACAATCCAACCAGAGAACCTAAAAAGCTGTCTTTAGACTTGACTTTGGCTGTACCCACACCAAATCCCACATCTTCTTTGGTGCCTTCTTTCCTGCCCCAGCTGACGTTGGTGAGTGACCTTGAATAGATTACTTAAATTTTCTGGTTTCTTCTACAAAATTACATTGCGCACCTCAGCCCTAGATGTATACTATCAATCAGAACCCACTATGAAAAAGGGATTTGTTTTAAGGAAATTAACCTATAAGTTTACAGGAGGAATCATGGCAGGAAAGACTAGAGGTTCAGAAACCCATTAAGAATTTTGTAATAATTCCAACCCTATTTTAAAAATAAGGGCACAAAACTGTAAGAGCCCATTACTTCTATAACATCCCCAAACTCATCTAACCTTTAACTTGTGGTAAGATTGTGGGATTAAATCTATATGTAAGAAAATGGCTAAATTCAAAACCCCTTTCAAGGTATAATAAAGGGATAGAGGGGAAGCTGTTCAGCAAGTAGGACCTCAAAAATGCAGCTCAATTAGTATGAAAGGTATTCATCAGATAGTGGTTTCTTCAGGAGGAATGATGGTCACCGTGCACAACTGTTGGAGGGGAAAGTGGTCATGTCACAAGAGTTTGGGGCTCGGCACCTGTGGCTCAAGTGGCTAAGGCATCAGCCATATACACCTAAGGTAGCAGGTTCGAGTCCAGCCCGGGCCCGCCAAATAACAATGATGGCTGCAACCAAAAAATAGCCGGGCGTCCACAACGGCGGGCACCTGTGGTCCCAGCTATTTGGGAGGCTGAGGCAGGAGACTCCCTTGAGCCCAGGAGTTGGAGGTTGCTGTGAGCTGTGATGCCATGGCACTCTACCCAGGGGGACAGCTTGAGGCTCTGTCTCAAAAAAAAAAAAAAAGAGTTTGGACTGATGGTAAAAGGAAATGAGATCTCTTTTGGCCCCATGAATCAGAGGCTAATGTGACAGGTTGTGTCACAGACGAGGAGACCAGTTGCAGAGAGAATATTTACAATTATCCCAGCCCTTCTTTTAGAAGAACTGTGTAAACCTTTTTACCCAGGTGCACATGAATTAATGAATTGATATTTAACTGTAGTCAGGATAACAGGTGAAAGAAGGTGATTACTCTAGAGGTTGAACAACTTTAACCTGAAAATTTGAAATGCTCCAAAATCCAAAAATTTTTGAATGCCACCATGATACCACAAGTGGAAAATTCTACACCTGACCTCAAGTGATGAGTCATGGTAAAAACAGTCAAAATTATTTCATTCATAAGTACTTCACATATACAGAAAGTATCAATGATGCAAGTGAATTCCATGTTTAAAATTGAATCCGAACCCCACAATATCTCATAATGTTCCAAACTTAGAAAAAATCCAAAACATTTCTGATACATACATTTCAGATAAGGGATATATAACCTGTAGTAGGGTTGTTTACAAAAAAAATTTTTTTTAAAGTCAGCCAGATTGGAGGACTGTGCCAGGGCAGCCATGGGACTATACTGGATGATAAAGAATCAGGGTCTGCGGTCATGAAAACATACGATGAAATTTTGCCCTGTATACTTCAGGTGTATCAGCATCTCCACCGGAAGGCTAACTTCGACCTACAACACCACTGGCAGAGGTGAGCATAAACTCTGATGCAGGATTGGTGTAGTCCTGCCTGTCACCACATACCCCATCAGGGACACAGCTATTGCATTTCTTTCCCCATCACGAAAGCTCAGTAAGTAGGAGTAAAACATAACCATTTAACCTCTAAAACCTCTAATTTCCCAAACTAACCCCAAGAGCAATGATAGGCAGAGGGTGGTAAAAGCCGTCTTGGCCAAGCCAAGGAAGGCCTAGTGGAACTCACTGGCGCTCTGTATCCTTGGCTAGTGCCTTGCTTGCCCCTTGAGGAGCCACCAGACTAGCCCATGAACACACATGAGCTCATATTTCTAAGGCCCAATCCTTGACTTGAGAAATTATACTCACCAATGACCAGAAACGTGGTCAGCAGTATGCCGACCGCCATGCCCACAGTGGGCATCCCAGGCTGACGACTTACTGGCTGGAAACACCTTTCCTCCACACACTTGCAGACGGTAACTGGAAAGTGGCACAGTATTTGGTAGGTTAAATTTGCAAACAAATCATCACAGAATCTCAACTGCCCCGAGGTAGGGGTGGGGGACAGACGCTACCTGACATTGCCTATAGCAAAATTCGTACCTGGTAAAGAGACTATGCCTTCCAAGGGTGATGGCCGACCCCCGTCATTGATGCGGATAGGGACTTCATAAACTCTCTCCTCAAAGTTCGTGTGCTTGGTGGAGAGACTGGCGTGAGTACCTGTCAGAACAGGGAAAAGAATGACACAAACACACAACTTCAGGTCTCTGCATCAGCAGGAAGAAATAAAGCTTATCCTTACATCACATGCCAAGGGTGACTAGGAATTGGATAGGTAGGAGTCAACCTACCCAAAGTATCACCCTTAGCACTCATAGTGTGAAAAGGGTAAAAGTATCCTTTAAATTCTCGGTTTGTGATTTCTCTGTAGAAATGAATACAAATGAATACCAATGGCATCGATTCTCATCATTTCCAGTGTTGGGGTCTATAAAGTTGTCCCAAACACTGGGTTAATACTGAGCCATTGCTCCAGGGGAAATGCAGAGTGAGGCTCCTGTGAGCCGCTGGTCATCAACTGATCCATATATAATCTCGTCTTCTATATTTCTGTTTAAAAATGCCTTATTTAATATATATTGTTGTTGACTAACATTTAACTCAGGATTAACAGCAATGGAACTCCTGCCTGAACAAAAATGATCTAACATGTACCCTCCCTGTAAGGCACATCATAGCTGCCTTGCGCTTAGGAACGCTAGACAGCCTTAGGGTTCAGGGCCATTTAAAACAATGAAATCACAAAATGAAAAGCAAAAAGTGTGGGAAAGGGGAGCACTAAGTGGACTGCAAAGAGAACAGTTAACAGTGCGAGAGTGGAAACTAGAGAGTGTCCCATTGTTCACCCTCAGCTGTTTCACCTTCTTATTCTCTGTTCACTGGAGAAGCACTTTTAAAAACTTGGCCTAGCTGTCAGCCCGTTCTGGCTTTTGCATGTCTAGCTTTTGGCTTAAAGTGAGAGACCTGCAACTCTTCCTTTTACTTGAATGCTTAGAGGCCACTACAGGGTTACTGACTGGCGCAATTTCAATACTGTGGCTCAGGGAATAGGGAGGCCCAAGGGTGTGGGGTGGGGAAAGGTCTGGTCAGTGGAGCAGTCAGACTCGACACTACGTTTGCCATCTCGCATGGATGAAGCTAATTAAGACTACCGGACCCAGAGCTGGCTGCAGGGCCTTGCAGAGTGGGTACCGGTATTAAAATCTAACTAAATGGGGTTGATAAGCACAGACAAGAACCAGCTTCCACTGGCTTGTCAGGTCTCTCTCTCTTAAATGAACTCAGGCTGATTATGATATCATATCATGGTTTAAAGATCACCACAACAGGCTCGGCGCCTATAGCTCAACCGGCTACGGCGCCAGCCACGTACACCTAAGGTGGCGGGTTCGGATCCCCAGCCCGGACCCGCCAAACAACAATGACGGCTGCAACCAAAAAATAGCCGGGCGTTGTGGCGGGCGCCTGTGGTCCCAGCTACTTGGGAGGCGGAGGCAAGAGACTCGCTTGAGCCCAGGAGTTGGAGGTTGCTGTGAGCTGTAATGCCACGGCACTCTACCCAGGGGGAAAGCTTGAGGCTCTGTCTCAAAAAAACAAAAAAAAAAAAAAAGATCACCACAACAGTTCTAAAACACCTCTATAAAGTAAATAATGGGAGGAAGCCCAATTCCAGGAATTATTACCCACATTCTTAGTAAAATCCAACCCCTCTTCTCAGTTAGCAAACCTTGAAAAGACCAAAAACCACATCCTGCAGGTACAGTTGTTCTTTTCTGGCTGGCTTGGCTCACGTGATGTGAACCAAAATTCTTTTCCCAATGAAAGAACCTCTACGTGGTAAAAATTGTGCTAAGTGAAAGCCAGACCAAAAACATGTGTATATATTGTATTATTCAATCTAGTTAAAATTATTGAAAATGAAAATCTATAGGGACAGAAAACAGATCAGTGGTTGTCTGAGAGAGAAGATGGATGGGGGTAGAGATTATAGCAGGACATGAGAAAACTTTGCACATGATGCTCAGTTGTCCAACTATCCATCTCCACCAAGGGGGATGCTGTGTGATGGAACAGTCTTCTCTCCCTTCAAAACCTGAGCTCTGCCCCTCTGGAGACCTCAGAGTATGAGCTTCCTTCCTGGAGCGTGGAAGAAAGCTCTGTCCTGGGTACTGCACACCCACCGAGTGAAACAAAACCTCATTTCATCATCCATCATTATTTTTCTCCACCTGCTTCTGACAACTCACCGTTGATTTTCGACACCTCCCAGTCTTTTTGTAAGCTTTCACTGCCGAGGGAAAATGTAAACTGGGGACCCCGAGGAAACTGCCAGTCATCATCAGTGGCCTCGAAAATGAGGCTTCCAGGTGCACTGAGGGGGTAGCAGAAGAACAAGCCTGTGTACTCCTTGACTAGCCGCGGGGGGCTGTCGTTCACATCCATGAGGGTCAGGTGGAAATGCGACACGGCGTTCAAGGAGGACCCACCTAAGAAATTGAATCATTGAAACACGGTATCAGCTCACTCATCCATTTAATAAGGATGTTTCCCTTTCTTAAAACTCAAGCAGTGAGATATACTGAGGTGCTAGAAAGATAAACTTTTACGCTGAAAGACCTAGTTTTATTACTGTTTTAAAAAAATCTTAGTAACTAAGGTCTATGTGCTAATATTTTATGTACATGACTGCAAGACTGGTGTACCTTTAGGTTAAGAAAACTGAGCTCAGAGAAGCTGTGACTTGCCCAAGATCACACAGCTAGTCAGCAGAGCTTCTCGATCCAAGAAGTCTAACTCCAGCTCCCACAGCCTCGCTTGCTCCTTACCACACCTTACTTTAGGGGTGTCAGGCAAGTTTCCTAGGCCTCATTTCTTCAGACATCTATGGCTCTGTGAGGATCACACATATAAGTGAATGTTCTAGAAAAAGGGTTGCACAGACACTGTTTACTATGCTACAGTAATAGAAAACACGGACTCTGCAGCATTACTGGGTGGTAGTCGCATGATTTGGGGCAGGTTACCTGATTTCTTAGTGCCCTGGTTTCCTCATCCATAAGGGGTTTTTTGTTTTGCTTTTTTGGTATAAAACTATTTAATAATAACTTGTTTAATTGTCATTTGGGAGGAACTGGGCAGATATATTTACTAGCTAATTACAGCCTCTGATTAGAATTCCTGTGGTACACTCAAATTCCATTTACCTTTTTTTTTTTTTTTTGAGACAGGCTTAAGCTGTCGCCCTGGGTCAAGTGCCGTGGCGTCATAGTTCACAGCAACCTCAAGCGATCCTCTTGCCTCAGTTTTTCTATTTTTAGTAGAGACGGGGGGGGGGTCTCACTTTTGCTCAGGCTGGCCTTGAACTTGTGAGCTCAAGCAATCCACATGCCTCAGCCTCCCAGAGTGCTAGGATTACAGGCATGAGCCACCACGCCCAGCCTTGAAAATTCCACTTAAATGCAAAGAAACTCAATGTTTTAATTACCAGCCTTGTTACTGGATAAGAATACCCTTCCTGTGAGTTAATTTTTAATTTAAAAAATTCTCTGGAATTCCACATTTGAAGTCAGCAAGCAATATAGTTCAACAACTGAACTATATGAGATACAAAGATTATACTGGGGTGGTTCAAACCACCCCAGTGGGCTTACCTATGTCATGGTCTTTCCTTACGAAAGTTTACCTTGAATCTACAGGGGTGGATTCCTAGTGTCTATACTGAACAAGCTTCCCCGGTGATCCTGACATGTATCAAAGTGGAGAATACTGCACAAAACATTTTCTACTTCAAAAAGGATGAAGCCTGATAAGCAGCAATTTTAGGCTGAAGGAGTGAGCAGTGGTCCTGGTGAGTGATTTTTCAACCAGTGTGCCGTGAGAGGATCTTAGGTGTGTCACAAAAATTTTTAAAGATCATTAATTATTTTCAAAAGATGTTCAAAGCACATCAAGTATATTCTTTTTTTTTTTTAAATAGGTTCAAGCGTGCTATGAGATAAAAAAAAGGTTGAAGAACACTGGTCTAGGTCAACAAGGCTGTGGTTTGACTGCACTCTGAGCTCCCACAAGAAACCCACAACCACTTTGGAAGAAGGGAGGTAGTTCAGCCAGGGACACAAGAACCTTCCAGAAGAAACTACAGAGTGAGCAGCACCCTTGAAGCCTGGTCAGCCTCTCGGTACAGCCCTGCTTGGAAGTGGCCCTGCTCAGGGGCACAGGTGGGTCTCATCTTTAACAGACCAGGAGGATGAGGGCACTGCCCACACGTTGGTCTTTTGTGGCTTTCTCATCCTTCCACTTACGGTGATGATACCCTGGTGCTTTGGCCCTATCCAGTTTGTCAACTTCCTCCCATTTCTATTGACATATCCCCAGATCATGTCTTTTCTCCCCTCCCCCCCCTTTTTTTTTGCTTACCTACTTCAGTGGCCACCACTTGTACCTGATACACACTCTCAGCTTCCCTGTCCAGCGGAGCTGCGCTGAAGATCTCACCAGTGACAGGGTCAATTTTAAGCCAACCTCTCCTGTCGCCTCTCAGTGAATACCTTCATAAAGTGCAAAGAGCAAAAGAAAGCCCAAGTTACTTTGCATGAAAATGTGAAGCTAGCTCCCGTGTCACCATACCGCATTACCACTGGTGTGTTATTTATAGTATTTAAAGGGTCACTGTCTTGCATTACTAGTGCTTCAGTCTGCATTTTATCTGTCTTCAGAAGGAAGACTCATTCATTCTTACATCTCATAATGTTTGTGCCCAGAGGGAAAAAGTTACACATTTCTGGAAATTAAAGAGTTACAATCAAACCACCCTCTAAGAAAACTTGAACCCCCAGGGGGAGACATTGGGTAGAATGGGGTGGTGCTCACAGACTATTGGTAACACTGAACGCCTCACTCGACAAATACCTACTGAGTGCTTGGCAATATTAGGCAGCTGACCAAGGGAGGAGGTCACAAAAGGGGCTTCGGAGTCAGTAGAAGAGGGAGGCACAGAAACCACTGATTCCAATAAAACGTGGTAAAGGGCCCCTGTGGAATCCAAGAGAAGTTTACGGGAATTAGAGAAGTCTTTCTGAAGGGGTGGTGGTAACAAAGGCAGAAAGAGGATGCTTCAGCAGAAGAGAAAGGGCCGAGAGTCAGATGTGTCAGTGGGGCTGGGACAGAAATGGGAAGCCAAGGTGGCAAAAAATGAGGTCACAGAGCTTTGAAGAGCCAGGTCATGGGAAACAACGGGTAGCCATCAAATGCTGGCCAGGGGGAAAGTGACCCACTCATATTTGTGTTTTCATTGGAACTCAGGGGTAGGTGTGTGAAAGATGAAATTGAGAGAGACAAGACTAGGCCCCTGGGTACAGCCCTTTGGGAAGCAGGATGTCATGGTCACAGGTCACACCCACCCAATGTCTCCAAATAATACCACTCCCAGAAATACTACCTACATTTTTAAAAAAGTAATAGAAGTTTAATATATTCAAAACATTGTCCAAGTTTAATATATCAAAACATTGTCTATAATTAAAAAACTTTAAAAACCTACATATCCTTGGCAGCACCTGTAGCTCAGTAGGTTGGGTGCTGGCCACATACGCCCAGGCCTGGTGGGTTTGAACCCGGCCTGGGCCTGCTAAACACTAATGACAACTGCAACAAAAAAATATCTGGGCATTGTGGTGGGCACCTGTAGACCCAGCTACTTGGGAGGCTGAGGCAAGAGAATCATTTAAGCCAGTGGTTCTCAACCTTCCTAATGTTGAGACCCTTTAATACAGTTCCTCATGTTTTATGGTGGTGACCCCCAACCATAAAATTATTTTGGTGTTAAGCCCAAGAGTTTGAGGTTGCCTTGAGCTGTGATGCCACAGCACTCTATCAAGGGTGATATAGTGAGACTCTGTCTCAAACAAACAAACAAAAAACCCTACATATCCAAGAATAAGAGAATGATTTCAAATCATGTGAATTACTTTCTCACAATGTACTTTTTTTTAGGGAGGGTCTCTTCTACATGCCAAGCACTATATTAGGCTATGTGTGTGGGTAATGAATAAGAAATGCTATATACTTGAGATTTCATCCTGAAAGAGGTGGGCTTTGAACCTTTGGAGGGCTTTGAAAGAGGAATCAGACAATCTGATTTACTTTCGTAAAGGATCACCCTGACTGCAGTGAATTGGGGGAAAAGAAGGAATCCAGAAGAGAAGAGGTGGTCTTGGACTACATTGGAAGCAGTGTGAAACATTTGGATTCTGAGTGTATTTCCCTGAAAGAATCTACAATATTTACTAATGGATTTGATTATGATCTATTGGGGGGGGGTAATGGATTATACGGTTTGGGAGCTGGAGAATTAAATTGCTCGGGCCAAAAGTTTGGAGTCACCCACAATTCTTATTAGCATCTGAACTATTAGTTATTCCTCATGCCCGAGACGCTTTTCCCTCACTTGTCTTCCAGAACTGTATCTTCCATTTCAAACTCCCTTGCTACTTAGGAGGGAGTTTGGAGGTCTTCTTGACCTCGACTTACTTGAACATATGTTATATCTTTTCCTCATTCTATCAGAGAAATTTTATTAAAAGCCTTTGTTTTCCCTACTTATCAACTAAAATCTTTATTCACTTGTCTTTGACCAATGATTTTTATACCATTTTCATGAAGAAGGTAGAAGCATTTGTTAAGTAAATGGCTGCAAACATTTAAACATTTTAAGCCTCCTAATTTGTGACTCTGGACTATTGATATTAAACCATTAATATAAGCCCTGCTATTTTTTCCTTCCTTTATGAAACTAGAGAAGTTAAAGAATAAAACAGTGGATGATAACTTTGCTCCTTGATGGACAAACAGAAAAGATTTTAGAACTGATTCCAAGTGCCTAACTATATACCTCAATGTGGGACAAAACTCCCCTCAAATGTTTAGGGAAACTTAAAGAATTGTCATAACTGCATGCATTGGTTTAAGCCATACTGAAATATTTGTGATGCCACAGACATTAGGTGTGGCAACAGAAGTAAAAGATCTGAGTTCAAATCCCACCTATGTGCTTATCAGCTATAAGTGGGTCACTACAAAAGTTTTGAGACAGACTGTGGTATGGTCCATTATTTCACTTTCCAGAAACACAGTTGACAGTGTCATTTCTGATTCACCTATGCAAGTTTCAACTTGCTCAGCTTATTGGTATTGCTGGAAGGGTTTAATTTGTTTCTGTCTGTGCGGGTTTTACAATTCTTGATTTCTGTATATCTCAAAACTTTTGTATTGACCCACATATAATCTTAAGCATACGTCTATAGCTTGAGCAAATTAGTCATCATTTTTAAGATAAATCATTGTGGGTCCCATTATAATGGAAAAAAATAATTGAGAATTATTTTTTAAAATAATGGAAATAGTTATATATTTTGTTTAGCCACCTCAGCCTGAGCACTAGCCTTCCAAGTGAAGTCTGGAATGATTCTTACTGCCCCAAACCAACTCTCTGGAAAGCTGAAGAACCCAGAAGATTCCCTTAACCCTATAGGGTAGCCTCATCTGTCCTGTGGGGGTTTAGTTTCATTCTCTCCAACTAGAACTTCAGTACCTATAATGCGCTAGAGCCCTTCCCCAACCCCCAGCCCACATATCTGGATCAAACACAGGGCCTGGCCATGGCTTGCTGGTCTCTGGAAGGTGAGCCCCACCTCTTGCACTCACCAGCTCTGCTAGCTTGGACCTGCAGCAAGTGGACTGAAATGTGGCCTTATGCTATTCCCACTTGTCTGGGCCTGGATTCACACTAATAAACCACATGCCTTAGCAGGCCCAACGGGTATTGACACCTGCCTCAACCAAGCCCAAGCCCACCATCACTGGCTGGTCCATTAGGGGATAGCCCTGGGAATAGAAACTGCAGGCCAGTTTCTCCAGCCCTCCCAGCTCTTCCTCCTCTCCACTGGCCTTGGTTGCAGGCCACAGTTGGGCCTGTCCAGCATTCTGGTCCTTTACCTGATGTCCAGACCTTCTGGATCCTTGGCAGTTACGTTGCCCACTTTTGTGCCTATAGTCACAGCCTCACTCACTTTTCCTTGGAATACATGTTGGGAAAATACAGGTGCTTCATTCACGTCTGTCACGATAAGCTTGAACTTGGCAAAGGAGCTTGCATTGTATGCTACACCAGAAACTAGAGGCTCAGGATTTTCTGCTTTGAACACAATGTTGGAAACAGCTGCTGTTTCAAAATCAAGAGGCTGTGTAGGGAAAAAAAAGAGAAAATTAATTTGGGGGGGATTAGCTCCCTTAAAACATACGTTCCACACATGCTTAACTCTAATATGTTCAATAGATGAAGTTGAGAAAACTGGATAGTCACAAGCATTAAAATGAAATTAGACCCTTATCTCACATCATATATGAAAATCAACTCAAAATAGATTAAAGGCTTTAACAGAAGATCTAAAACCGTAATAGCACTAGAAGGCAACATTGGTCTAGACCAGCGGTTCTCAACCTATAGGTCGTGACCCACAGGAACTGTATTAAAGGACCACAGCCTTAGGAAGGTTGAGAATGATCTTTTAGGTGTGACCCCAAAAGCAAGCCAACAAAAGCAAAAATAGACAAGTGAGATTGTGTCAAACTAAGAAGCTTCTGACAGCAAAGGAAACAATGAAGAGGCAACTTACAGATTGAGAGAAAATATTTGCAAATAACACACCTGATATAATATATAATGAACCCAAACAACTTAATACCAGGAAAACAACCTGATTAAAAACTAGGTGAAGGACCAGAATAGACATTTCTCAAAAGAAGACATACACATAGCCAGCAGGGATATGAAAAAATGCTCAGCCAGGTGCAGTGGCTCACACCTATAATCCCAGCACCGTGGGAGGCCAAGGTGGGTGGACCACTTGAGGTCAGGAGTTCAGACCAGACTGTGCAAGAACAAGACCCCGTCTCTAAAAATAAATAGCCAGACATTGTAGTGGGCACCTGTAGTCCCAGCTACTTGGGAGGCTGGGGCCAGAGCATCACTTGAGCCCAAGAGTTTGATGTTGTTAGCTATGTATGATGCCAGGGCATTCTACCCAGGGTGACAAAATGAGACTCTGTCTCAAAAAAATAAATAAATAAAAAATGCTCAAAGTCAGGAAAATGCAAATTAAAACCACAATAAGATATTACCCCATACCTGTTAGAATGGTTGTCATCAAAAAGATGAAAAATATGTATTGATGAGGATGTGGAGGAAAGGGATCCCTTGCACACTGATGGTGGAAATGTAAATTAGTACAGACATATGGCAAAGGATGTAGGTCAAAAAATTAAAAATAGCACTACCAAATTGTCTAGTGTTCCCACTACAGAATACATATCCAAAGGAAATGGAATCTTTGACATATGTCAAAGAGATATCTCACTCCCATGTCCACTGCAGCATTATGCACAGCAATAGCCAAGATACGGATTCAACCTCAGTGTCCAACAACAGATAAATGGATAAACAAAATGCAGTGTAGGTATGTACAATGGAATACTGTTCAGCCTTAAAAAGAAAAGAAGTCCAATCATGCGCCACAACACGGATGAACCTGTAGGCCATTATGTTAAGTGAAATAAGCCAGGCACAAAAAGACAAACACCACCTGATCTCACTTATATGGGGAATCTGAAATAGTTGAACTCACAGTAGCAGAGAGTAGAATGGTGGCTGCCAGGAGGTGGGGAGAATTGGGAAGATGTTGGTCAAAGCATACAAAATTTCAGAAGGAATGAGTTTAAGAGATCTATTATATAATGTGGTATCTATAGTTAGTAGCAATATATTGTATACTTGAAAATTACTGAGAGTAGATTTTGTGCCCTCACCACAAAAACATAATATGTGAGATGTTTATGTTAGTTAGCTATATTTAGTCATTCCACAATGTATGCATGTTTTGAAAACATACACGGTTTGTGTCAATTACAAAGGCTTCATACAGGGCAGTTCTCAATCCAGTGTCAGCAAAGACTTCTCAGAATGATAACGGAGTCACAAAAAAAGTCTTTACTGCAGGACTTATTAGAGCTTGTGGTATGCTAATGTGCATCGTGACTTTCCTGGAAAGGAAATGAAATGTCCACTCCGCAAACTTATTTAACCATGAGACATTTCATTCAGCAAAAACACTGATTTTTTTCAAGATAATTCTCAGAAATCAGCCTGGGAAATGCTTATCTAGAGATTTCCATTCTGAATGGAAAATGAGTTCCCAAGGGCCTCAGGACCCAAACCCCAAAATCAAAACTTTAAATTCATGGAGGTGGGGAGAGGTGAGTAGAGATTAGATAGATGATCTGCTTTTGTTCCAGGCCATGCCAGATAGCACCAGGAATGAACATCAAAATTCCAGTTTGGGTTTAGTAAGAGGAAGAATTTAACAGGGCTGCCCACAATGGAAAGAGTTGCTTCATCTCATCACCAGAAGTTCCCAACTCTGGAAACTTTTAAGCATAAGCTTAAACAACATGTGACAGGCTAGCGTAGAAAGGACTTAAATGTCATAAATAATTCATTCGACATGATTTTAAGGTTCTTCTCAAGGCAAAGAGTATATGGGGGGGTATTGTAAAGAAGTTGCTGAAGAGTAGAACAGCCCCCAAAGTAGGTCTTCTTAACTAAGATTAAAGGTCCTCGGGGGTTTCTGAGACCATGGGAACTATAGGCATATGGTGTTTTGTTTTGTTTTAACAAGAGGAGAGTATATAGCTTGTATGAGATTCTTAAAGGGACTCAGAACCTCAAAATATTAAGGAACCAAAGTAAAACCTAAAGGAATATTACAGACTGTGGAAACTGCACTATTTTATTCACGTTCCAGGCCTGAAGGACCAAGAAACTCTTGGGGAGCTGTCCTTTACGTTATAACAGAAATGGCAATATTCATTCATGAAGAGAAAAACGGAGGCATGATTGCAATTGGCTCAGCCTGCCGTTCCCAGCATCTGAGAACATCCTCCCTGTAGGCAGGCTCTGGCTCAGTGCTGTCCTCTCCACGTCATCTTCCTTGATCCCCACCCTCGATCCTCAAGGGGACAAGCTCCACGCCCTCTGTGAGCTCTATGAGGAGAAATTACATCACACTCATCTTTACTGAGTGTGTCGCAATTCCCTGACGTGGGAAGGCTGGTCAGGATATACAAAGATAATAAAGTCCTCAGTCCTTGAAGGCTCCAATGGAGAGAGGTTCTGGAGAACATGCCCTCTCTCTAGAAACCTCATGGACACACAACATCACGACTCTCTCTCTGGTTCCTAAATCCTATGGGGCAGTCATTCATGAGGAACAGACAGACCTGTGTGAGGAGACTCAGGGTCATTTGAGAGAGAGTCTAAGAACAATATGCATGTGTTCAACTATTCAAGACAAAGTTTAGTAGGCCAGCTGAGACGTGGCAGGAGAGGTGGTTCACAGAGATAAGCCCCTGCCGTCTGCAGGGCCTGCACCTCCATAACCTCCTGATCATTGCTACACGTGGTTCATGGTCTAATCAGGGTTCCTCATTAAGGCTGGAGGGAGAAAGCTGGGGCTTCTGACCTTCAGGGATATCCTCTCCATCTCAGGGGATGAGGGCAGTGGTGTCCCATCAAGATAAAAGTCTGATAGGTGGCAGAAGCCCCCCACAATGAGCCTGTGATGGGAACAAAGGACATGGCCCTTGGCCCCTGGCCAGCCCAGCCATGCCGGGGCTCAGGCAGGCAGCCCAGCTGTCTGTGCACTCAGGCAGGGCAGCCGCCCCCATCCTCACCACATAATAGTCCTACGTGCCTTCCGGCCTTCCCATCCTGTCACTGGCCCCAGAGGCAAAGAGGTAAAGAAATGAGACAGTCGGTCTGCAAAGGAGAAGCAGCCTGTGTTATCACTCAGCGCGTGCGAGGCAGGAGTGGGAAGAGCTGGCAGGGAAGGCTGAGTACATCAGGCTAAGGAGCTAGGACTTTATCCTCAACGACAAGGTCAGATCTGTGTTTCAAAAAGGTAACTCCAGGAACAGCTCTGTGAGGAATAGACATGAGCTGACCCATACCAGGGTAGAGAGACAGGTTAGGAGATGCTGCCGGTGCTCCTTAAACACTGAATGCAGGAATAAAGGATGGAAGGCCATCTGCCATCAAGCCATCTGTCTGCTTAACTTCCACACCTGGAAAAATACCGAACCCAATCTTCCCCAGAAAAACTTAGAAATGGAAGGTGCTAAATTAGCAAATGATCATCAGAGCTGAAGTAAGGAACTGCTTTGTCTTGTCAAACCATATGCACTGTCTTTCCTGACTCGGGGCTCTGCCTGCAAAGCCAAGTCATGAGCCCCATCATGGCCCCCTGGGCCGGCCTCGGCCCCTCTGGTGAGACACAGTCATCAGGTAAGCTGAGAAAACCCGCTGTGTCAGGATTCCCCTTCTGCACACCGCTGCCTGAAAGGTCAAACCTAGTGATTTAGATTCAACCTGAGGCAGAGAAGTGTTCAGGCTGGGGATACTTAACATTTTTGCCAACAATCAGTGATGATATAAAACAGCACATTAATTTTTGAGATGAAGCCTGGGCTGGTTATGAAAAGAGATTTCAAAAGGACCAGCGGTGGTGGAGGAGTGACAAAATTTGCAAATTAAAAAGACAAAAACAAAGCAAAACCGTGTCCCAGGAGAGCTATGGACAAGCTAGGCAGGACTCAAAGAAATAGCCTTCCTGCTCCTGACACCCACTTGACCCCTAGAGTACAATAAAATACCACAGGACAGGCAGGGATGTGGGTGGCAGTGAGTGCAGAGCAGGGCAGCCCTTCCCGATAGTTGTTTAATCCGAAGCCTTGATTTGAACAATAGTCAAATTTTCTGCTTTCAGGGTTTACACCACCACCACCACCCTCAGAAAGGCTAAGGTAGCAGTCCCCAAAGTGTACCTTTAACTCTTGAATTAGGCGAGTGTGGCAGGATCCTGGCTCTAATTAATCAGGATTAAGTAATGCCACATATTAATTGAGCCTACTACATGCTAGCTGCTGTGTTAGAATATCTTTACTAGAAAACTGCTACTATTTTCTCCATTTTTACAGATTGGAAAAGTGTGGCCTGAGAGGTTACATCATTTGCTTAAGGCCACAAGCTAGTAAGTGGCAACACCAGCCCTCACAGAAGTCACATCCTGAGAGGAGCTGGGCTTGGGGTCAAGGTCTCTACCATCTCCAGGAGGCCAACTAGACCCTGCTGTGGGCCTGAGTTTCTGAATCCCTCAGAGTTAGTGTGGGAAGCAGAGGAGAACATGACTGCTATAGCCCTTCAGCTAACACCATCACAATCAGAACTAGAAGGTTTGTTAATTGGCAAAGTGATCTTACAGACATTCTTCATGATATGAGTGGTGCTTAAGGTACTCAGTGGAGTTAAAAATATAGTACATCCCTTGGTCACTGTGAACAGGAAAGAGCATGACCATCTGGCTGAGGTTACCAACATCTCCCTAGAAGTGCCCTCAGGGAGCCAGAAATGGCCAAATTGAGCCACCACATACACACGTTAAAAACGATGACATGTGACTGTCTAGCTTCCCTTAGAGCCCTACTGAGTCTGGTCCTGGGAGAGGAAGGGAGGAAGCTCCCTCCATCCCCTGTGAAAGCGCCACACCACATGCCTCCTGGGCTGCCCACTACCCACTCAGAAAACTGCCCTCTCCTGCGTCCTTTTTTTCCTGCGGTTCTTTCTCCCCACGCAGACAGTCGTAAGCACGAGGGAAAGTTGTAATGACACCTTTCCCAAATGCCAGACTCTCACAGAAGGCGAATGCTGTGAGTGGTCCACATAGGAACCTCTCACTGACGCCTAGTTAGACCCATTGCCAGAGGTGGAATATATGGTGACAATGGGACCAGAATGGTGAGGCTGTCCCAGGGCTTCCTTCAGCATAGCACTTCTTTCTCTGTTCTTCCGTTTTCTGTGAAATTATTCTCTTAACATTTTGTTTTCATTTTGAGCCTCTGCTTTCAGCTTCCCTTTACTCTGGCTCAGATCTGCCCCCAGAGCCTTCTGTGGCAGCCTCCAGTGCACACGGAGAACCTTACATAGCTAGCCACGCGTGTAGAGTCTCCCTTGCCATAACTCTGTCCCCTGTTTGGAAGCTGCTTGTATTCAAATCTTTTTTATTTATTTCAGATTAATATAAGGGTGCAATCAATTCGGCTTCATTGTCTGTCTTTGTTAGAAAAAGTTCGGGTTGTATTTGAGCTCTTCACCCAGGGAGGTGGGCCGTATGCCCCTAAATTGTGCCCATTAGGTGGGCGCTTACTCCCCCTCCCTAAATTTAACTTTGTTCCTATAGTTGTTTGCTTGCTACTTTCAAATTAGTATTGAGTACATGGGATGCTTGTTTTTCCATTCTTGAGCTACCTTAATAAGGAGAATGTTCTTCAACTCCATCCAGGTAAACACAAAAGATGTAAAGTCTCTACTATTCTTATGCCTAATAGTATTCCATGGTATACACGTTCCACAGTTTATTAACCCACTCATGGGCTGGCAGACACTGGGGTTGTTCCCACATCTTTGTGATTGTGGATTGAGTTGCCATAAACAACTAACCCTTTTTAACAGGAGGTTTCACTGTCTCTCCTGGGAAAGTGTCTTAATTTTAAGTATATTGGATGGTATTGAATACTGCTTCCAACTCAGTGATCTGAGATCGAGCAGCCAAGAAAAAACTCAAGATTTAGGTGTACACAGCAGTGGATAGGAGAGATTGTGGAATGGATGGGAGGAATCTTGTACAGAGAAATAGGAACAAATATAATGAAGACTTTGGCTCCAGATTACCTAGTCCCTACAAAGGAGAGCTGGGGGCTTAGCAATGCTGGAAAAGACAAGAGTAAGGCAAGATGGAAGGGGAATGGAAGGAACTTGTCCCTGAAACCTTGAAAGGAGACTTCCAGTCATTATTCAAGAGGTGTCTCCCCCCATCCCCCACACATCCAAATAAAGGGGTCACAGCCTGAAGGACCACAGGCTCAGTCGTCACAACTCCCCACATCTACAAAGTAAGAAGTGAAGCTCTGGGGACCATCCCCCCCCCCATAAGGCTGCCAGATTTAACAAATAAGAATGTAGAATACCTAAATTTGAATTTCAGATGAACAATTTTTAATATATATCCCAAATATTGTTCATCCTGTATTTTACTTTTCTGAGGTGGGGGAGACCGGGCCTTGCACGTCACCTGGGTTAGAGTGATAGCATTATAGTTCACTGCAACCTCAAACTCCTGGGCTCAGGTGATCCTTCTGCCTCAGCCTCCTGAGTAGCTGAAACTACAGGTGCTCACCACCACACCTGGCTAATTTTTCGAAATTTTGTAGAGATGAAGTCTCACTCTTACTCAGGCTGTTCTCCAACTCCTGACTTTAAGGAATCCTCCCTCCTCAGCCTCCCAGAGTGCTAGGATTACAAAGAATATTTTACATATTTTATGTGACAAATTGCCTCTCTGAAGTAGTTACTTGGCCAACCAGGGACAGACCCAGGACTAGAATCCTGGCTTTCTATCTGTCAGTGAGACAGGAGGGATGAAGAGTGTTCCAGGAGTCCAGTGCTGTGTCTGAGAGGTCAGTGCTAACACATCACCTCTGCTGATAGATCTTTACACTGTCACTAGGAAATTAATCCACAAAGACAAATTCCATTACAGGGGATATTTACCCTTTTGACTATGACATATCCGGCATTGGTGTGGGGATCTGTGTCAACCCCCAGTCGTCCTTTGCTGTCTCCCTCTATGATGCGGTACAGGATCTTAGCACTCCCGGTAAGTGGCTCATCGTTATCAGTGGCCTGGATGGTTAAGATGGTGGACCCAACGTTCGTGTCTTCGGGAATGGTCAGGTTTCCATACTAAGGAGGAAATGGGGGAAAGAAACCGTGAGAATGTCCACTGTCATCAAGCATCATTGCCAAAGGACCAACACAAGTCACAGTTTGCATTAATATGTATGGGGCATGCTTTCCCCAACGTAGTCACACTGTGGTTGATTTTAACTTCAGTCACACTCATGAGCTGATATCCATCATACTGACGACCACAACATCTCAGAAGGATCCTGATAGAATTCAAAGACAGAATCCTCCTACCCTTATCCAGTGTTTAATAACTATAATTATTATTATAAGTATTAGTGAAATAAATAGCTATAATGAATTAAGTACCTAGAATATGGGATTTTATTTATATACCCTATTTTAATTCTATACCCCATTCTACAATGGATTAAGTACCTACAATATGGGGTTTGTTTATATACCCTATTTTAATTCTTAGATCAACCAAGGAATAGCTTTTAATTAAAAGCTTGAACTGTGGAGTCAAATGCTCTGAATATGAATCCTAGGCTTGCTACTTATCAATAGGATGACTCGAAGCAAGTTACCTTACTTCTTTACCTGTTTGTCATCTGTCTCATGAAGATAATAATAATAGAACCTACTTCATGTTTGCTGTGGGGATTAAGGGAGATAATACACGTAAAGCTCCTGAGGGCCTGGCACACAGTGGGTATTCAATAGGGCAATGAAACACCCTACTGAGTAGCTGTATTAGATATTGCAGAGATTAAACCCACCCAGGATCACACAGTTAGTGGGCCATAGGATTGGGAGTTGAACCCATGTTTGTCCAAATCCCAAGCCTGTGCTCTTAATCACTGGCCTAGACCATGCCCCCTTCCCCTGGAAATCCCAGATAGATCATCTCTCCTGGCATCATGATCTTAAAGATAACAAGGAAGGTCCAGAAGAGGACCATGACAATGAAAGAAGCAGGTTCTCTGTAGCCAGATGTGTGTGTTTAAGCTCTGAGACACCCAACGCAGGATTCTTACCCTCAGTCTAAAAAACACTGTCTAGGTGAAATCTGAGGAAATGACATTAGGAAGGGATTCAATGCGCAACAGAATGGGGGCTGAGAAGAAATGGGCTCATTTCTGTACTGGCTTAACCTCAGTGCCTGTACTGTACACAGGATACAACCAGTCACACTTCTTCCCACCTCCAGCCCCTTCATAAATCAATTCCCTTCTTTGTCACAGCCTCGTCCCTATTTTGATTTATGAACTTCGTCACAGGGCTCTGGGCTGCCTCACAGCTGACTTCAAATATGACAGAACAATCTCTTCAAATGGGCTTTTCTCTCCGTCAATATAAATAGAGACATCCTTTTTAAGGGAAGCAGTGATAAAGCCATCACGAAATCTGAAGCCCATATCAGGGAAAAAAAAAATTTTTTTCTTGAGGTTCTAAACTAATATTTTCTGTTCTGTCCAATTCTAAATTTTGCAAATATAAAAAATTAGGCACATTTTTCTTTGGCATAAACCAGAGAGTCACTTTTTTCTTCTCTCTTTCTCTTACCCAGTCAGTACAAAGTGAATTCAAATTATCAATATTCCAAATATTACATTTTTGACTAAAAATTCTTGTTTTAACTTAACAGTATTTTATTCATTCTCTCAATTGACACAAATATATAATGATAAATGGCAGTGGTCATTCAACTCTTTTCAATTTGACAGAGATTATGGTTGTAGCTTTTAATCAGCCCTTGGAATAAATGAGCTGTTGGCAGGAGTTTATTAACAGACATCCCCAGATAACTGTAACAGTGGATGTTAATGTTCCCTGCAGATTTCCACTGAAGGTGGTGCCTGCATTTGTTATTGGTGCATGGACCCACGCTACCTGTTAAGACTGGCACTTTTCCTAACTATCATCTGTGTCTTTATCCCAGAAGTAGGGGTCAAGTAATATGAACAAAGTAAAGAAAAAAAAAGGACAACTACTCACATCTGATTTTTCAAAGATGGGGATCTGATCATTGATATCAATAACGTTGATTTGCACAGCACAGAGGGTCTGGAATGCTGAAAACCAAAGTTAGATATCACAGAAATTTTCACCAAAAATCATGCATTAATATCAGGAATCAGCAAGAAAATAATCAGCAAGTGAAGACTTAACCACTATTTTGCAATCGACATGCAATTTATGTGTTAAGAGGGCTCTCCGCTCTCACCTGCGCCCACAGGAGGTTGTCAAGGAGGGGAGAAGGACTTGAAGACAGACCTCAGAGTAGTTTTTCTCAATTCCCTTTTGCTCCCCAGCTTCCCCCATCCCAAGTAAGGTTTGTTCCTGATCAGGATGGCTCCTTTTTTTGAAGCAGCCTCTCTTTCTCTGATTGGTAAAACCTAAGTAGTCCTTAAGGCACAGTGTAAAATTATCCCTCCAGAAAGCCTTCCCAGCAGCTGTGTTTCCTTCTCTGGACACATCTGCTCTATATCTGCTCTGCTGTCTGTGGTGGGGAGTCTCAGGGGCACCTGCTCCCTCCTCTCTTAGTAAGGGAAGAAATCATACAATGAACCTCCTCTAAAGGGCATGACTGTTCAGCCTGCAAGAAGCAAGAAAGGTAGCTCGAGGGACCCTGAAGAAATGGCCCAGGCTTTCAGGGATGGATTTGACAATTCAAAGACCTAGTGAGAGACAGCAGCTTCAATGAGATCCAAGATGAGCACTGAATGAAAATGGGGAGAAAGGGGGAGACATAATGCCCGGTTCTCTGAGGGACTGCCATCTTTCTAACTGCAATGTACTTTAATACTCTGGGATCTCACAGTTCAGACTCTGGTGCTGTCACTTATCAGATGTGTGAGAGTTTGGGTACGTCATTCAAGGTCTCTGGGCCTCAGTTTATCTATAAAATGTAGATAAAAACAGAACCGAGCTTCTCACTGTAATATGATCTGTGAGCAGTCTCTATGCCCCACTCACTGTCAAGCACTTTAGCTACATCAGTCATCTTCACGATTTCATGACGTGTATGTACCGTTAGCATTCCCATTTATTTAACAATGAGGAGGCCGGAAGATAGTTAGTTAGGGGACTTAACCAAGGTCATATAACTAAATAGTGGTGAAGTAGGATTCAATCCATATGCTCTCTTTGCCCCCTATGTCTGCTGTCCACACCTCTATGCATACTCTGTGTCCCAGGGACTGACTTCATGAACTGCACCAGGTGACATCTTGCCCTTGGGGTACTATTTGGAGTCTGCCAACTAAAGGCCTAGGAGGAACCTGGAAAAAGGGCAAGAGGCAGGCAGTTGGGGGTGTGACACCCCTGTTTTAAAAACCCTCTTTTCTAGTATAAGGTACAGGCCTTACTCCTTCAGGGGACGAACTTTCCCTGGTCCCTTCAGGCTTTAAGAGCAGAAAAGGCTGGTCCCTGTGCTTCTCACCCACTTCCTATTGTTTTCCCTTAGCCCTGCCTCCCACCCACAACTTTTATCAGTAATCCCTTCTTGAAACTCTTTGAGGAGCCATCCTGCTGGGATCCTAAAACACCCAGGTAGTCCAGCTATGTAACCTGTTAACAATCTAATAATAAGCAAGTGCATGTTGATTAAAGTTGAGGGTGGTCCCCAGAACTTTTGTAGACAACAAGAATGGCCCCAGGCCCAGAACTCAGTGACTCACTGCTCTGCGTGAACCTGTTTTGCACCAGAAGTGGGCCCTCTGCACAACAAACCAAACCTGCTTCAGGTCTCCATGCATTTGCACATGGAGACCATGTGCATTGCCCACTCCTCCGAAGTCCTACCTGTGTTTGTAACTTATCATATTCACTCTTCAAAACTTAGCTCAGTGACAACTCTTCCAGAAAGTTGTACCTGTTCTCTCCCTCCACTGAGTCATTCATTTCCTTCATGGGATACCTTGTATGGTTCTTTGAAATCTATTAATTCATGTGTTCATCTCCTCTACTGGAACGAGCCCTCCTTGAGGACCCTTGAGGACAGAGACTAGGGCTTATTAATCTTTAAAGTGTCCAAAACCTTCCATGGGGTCTCAAATAGGCAAACAATAACTGCTAAAAAAAAAAAAATGGACAGCTAATAGTGTGAGAGTGATGGTTCATCATGGATGAGGACGATTTATTATACTTACTTCTGCTTTACTCCCTTTAACATAATGCTGAAAAACATTAGGCCCTTCATATTTGTCAAATTACTGGTTTTCACACATTCTGTATTGAGGGCCTGCTAAACCCAGGTTCCCCCTGGTCTGTCAACATCCATGTGAAGGAGAGAAGGGTGAAGCACAGTGGGAAGTGATGCTCTTTTTCTTCCCACATCTATGGTATCAGAGCCTCCAGGCAGAACAATTATTGAATTCCTTGATAGTCTAAGATTCAGTGCTAGGTAGCTCAAAGGATTCTTGGCTTTTGAGGAGTCTGAGTGCCCCAAAATGAGTCTTTCTCTGGACAAGTGTATTTTTGTGTTTGTACAAACTTTTAAAGAATGTGTGCATTTGATTGAAAATGCAGAGTTTCCATCAGATTTCAACGAATCTTGTAACCCAACAGAGATTAAGAACTACTTGATCTGAAATTATATAAAGAGTAAGGAAGAATGTCTCCTGCTACTGTCAAATGACCAACTGGAAGCTGATAGGAGAAGATAGAACTTCCCAAGACACTCATTTCTCTTCCACTTTCATACAGATTCTTGCTTTGAGTCTGGAAGCAAGAATTAGGAAACACAATTTTCCTATTCATGGTGCTGGTCTGCAGAATGTGACTGGCAGACCTCCAGCAAAAGAGATATTAACTGATGATGACCTCACTGCTGGGCTCTGAAATCCATCACTGCATTTGCACCAAGGCCTTGCTTGCCATGGACTGCTGTAGTCAGTGACTGAGCAAAGCTCATTCACAGAGATCTTGAACTCCTTTGACAGGCAACTTTGGACCCCTCCCCCCAACAGCCTTATTGAACTTTCTTTAGGCTGTTCAGTGGTCTAGGGCATTCCCACCAGCCCTTCCTCCCGCTCTCTCCTTCACTCAGGGTCAGGTTTATGCTGTGGTCTAATGGCTCTCCTAAGTCCTCTCTGCCCTCTCTCCATTCTCTAAGGCATCCTCCTAATAAAATCCTTAAATGTTTAATTTCTTTTAAGCATCTGCTTCTCAGAGAACCTGGACCTACACAATGATGTTGCCTGGGCTACAACTCTGGCCTTTACAACCTTGAACCTAGGTGTCTCTGTGTTGCATGTGTTTCATAAAGGAAGCAAGGATTGTCTACATGGTATCACTCTGTAATATACCAAGGTTACAGCAGCCAAACAAGTTATAGCTAGAAGTAAAGCCATTATTTGTACTCAAGACAGCAGGTGTAACACTAACCATTGTCATGCACCTCTACTGTTAAGTTGTACTGAGAAGTATCTTGCTTTCTCAAGGATCTTTTAGCTAATTGGAACTTTCCTGTGTGGGCTTCAACCAAGAAGAGTCCATCCTCAGGAATGTGAGGAGTTTGCTCCACAATTCTGTAGAATAACATACTATGGACATTATTTTCTTCATCGTTGTCATAGGCAGTAAAATTCCCGATAATGTTTCCTACAGAGAAGAAAAAAAAAATCCAACAGGCTTCATGTAATCTATTAAACTTTTACCTTAACCACCTCTTTGAATACATTATCTCCAAATACATTCACATTCTGAGATAATGGGGGTTAGAACTTCACCATGTGAATTTGGGGGGACACTCAGTCCATAACAAATAGTGTCCCCCCAAATTCATGTGTACTAGAGACTCAGCATGGGACCTTACTTGGAAATAAGGCCTTGCAGATAGTTAAGGATCTTGAGATGAAATCATCCTGGATTTAGGGGAGCCCTACATTAGGGTGACCAGATTTTAACATCGGTAAGGCAGGACAACATGGCCGGCAGGCGGGGTGGGGTGGGGCAGAGCAGGCGATGGGGCAGGGCAGGGCCTGACCACAATGCAAACTTTGATAAGCCATTCTCGATAATCACTTCTCAGCAATTATTTGTTATTATTACAGTTTAACATTATAAAATTAACAAAAATAATATAAAACTCATATTCTGGCGAAATAGCCACATGGCAGCCGAAAACCGTATATTCCCTTCTTGTTCTCCTGTTTGTGCATTCTTTCCAAAAATCAGGACTTTTTTAAAATGCCGCGGGATGCGGGACAAATTGTTCAAAAGCAGGATGTCTGGTCTCCCTACCCTACATCCACTTGTAGGTGCTCTCACAAGAAGGGAGGACACAGACGCACATAGCAGAGTAGATGATATGGAGGAGGAAGTTAGTGATTGCAGTGGTGCTACCACAAGTAGCAGGAACACCGGGAGCCAACGGAAGCCAGAAGGAGCAAGCAAAGGTCCTCCTAGAGACTCTGGGGGGAGCGTAGCCCTGCTTGCACAGCAACTCCAGGCTCATACTCTACAGACAATGAAAGAATGAATTTCTGTTGTTTCAAAGCACCAAATTTGTGGTGATTCATGAAGGCAGCCCCAGGACACTAATACTCATGGCAAACAGGATAACTAAACAAAGAGAAGCCAACCCTGATTGCTTCTAAGTAAATTTATGGAACAATTGCAGGTAATGACTCCCTCCCAGAGATAACACAGGGCACACACAGCACAGGCATGAGCACAGGTCTTGCATGAGTTTTGATGGGTTCTGGCTCTTTCTCTGTGAAATGAGAATTGGGGTGTAGTTTCTTTATATGCACCAAGCATCCTGCCTAGGGGCTAAAACTTGAGTTCCTCTGTCCAGTCCCTTCAAGATGCAGTTAAGCTTAGACCCCCCTCCCCCATAAGTGTTTGCATCCACTAAGTTAAATGGAAACGTGGAGGAGTTTTTGCTTTGGTGTTGGGAGAAGGGAAGGGACATACCTTCATTATGTACAAAAGGGAGCTGAACACATAAGATGTGTCTCAGGGGCTGGGTGTAGGGACAGCCTGAGCAACAGGATGAAGGAGATATACCTCCTATTGCAGTGGCAGCCGCTTACTTTCAAATTCATCACAACTAGGTAGCCTTTGTGACATGCATGTGCTCTTGCAAGCAAAGCATCTGTATGTTGGGATGAAAGAATATCTTGAGGGGTGGCGCCTGTGGCTCAAGGAGTAGGGCACTAGCCCCATATACCTGAGGTGGCAGGCTCCAGCCCCGGCTAAAGACTGCAACAACAACAAAAAAAGATTACCTTGTATCTAAAATAAAATGTTAAAAAAAATTAAAAAAAAAAAAGAAAGAATATCTTGCTAATTTCTGAGGTCCTTTGATATCTGAGCGGCCCTTTGCTTTGGACACCTTTCCACTCACCAAACAAGCATAATACAAAGGGCACTAGTTCACTCCACAGGGACCGTACTGGTCTGAGACCCCATGTGGATTGTTGGCACCAGAGGAAACACCTTGGTGGAAATGGAGGGCATTGTGCATGAGCCAGAGGTTGGGAACCTAGTGACAACCCAACTTGATTCAGGAGTGAATACAGCATCTTCTTGTGGGCATCCAGAAACACTTTGGGAAGACTGTGCTTTTTTGAGAAGCTAAATGTCTAGTATGAATATGCAGAACCTGGTTGTAAGTGAGATACAAGAATCAACACTGATATTACTAGGACTTGGGGACACAAGTCCTATAAGATACTGGCTAATGCAAGATACCAAAGAGGAGAATGTAAAGCACCAAGGAAGGTTTAACATTGCCCTGCAGTTTGGTCAAGGTTTCCCTCTGTGTGCCCACTGTCAGCTCACAGGAAGGCCCTAGGCCAGAAGCATTCTTGTTTCCTCCTCTGGCTACATATATAGAATACAGTCACTTGATTGATAAGAATTCTTGGTCTGTTAATAACTTTGTCAGATAGCTTTACAAAATAAATTCTCACTTTTAGAGAGGCAAATAGCATGCTGAGCCCTGAATAATTTATTCTACCAACAATGACTTCCTCATGGGTCTGAGCAAATGAGGACTATCCTCTTCCCAAATGAGGTAGGCAGACTCTAAAAATGGCTCCCAGTACAGGCAGCCCCCAGGTTACAGACTTATAAACCAATGGAAGCTATGACAGTAAGTCCTTGAGTTACAAACATCTGACTGACTCATACTTAGGAATAGAGGCTATTATAGGTGAAAGGTAAATATAATTGTTCCAACTTACATACAAATTCAACTTAAGAGCAATCCTACAGAGCCCGTCTTGTTCATAACCCAGAGACTGCTTGTATTCCCCATCTCCTGATATTCACGTTTTTTCATAACCCCTCCTTTTGAGTGTGGTTGGGCCTACTGACCTTCTTCTAATGAATAGAGTATGGCAAAAGTAATGGGATGGCACTTCCAAGATTAGGTTATCGAATGACCGATTTCCATCTTGTTTGTCTTTTCTTGTTCTCTCTCTCTCTCTGAGCTCTTGCTCTGAATTAGAGGCAGCCAGCTGAACTGTGCTCAGATTCATGATTCACAGAATCTGGGAGATAATACATGTTTGTTGTTTTAAGCTGGTAAGTTTGGGGGCAACTTGTTATGCAGTAATAAATTATGCACTATATTAAATGTTTGGCCCAATGTTATACACTATGTTAAATGTTTGGCCCAATGCAAAGAGACTCTGAGTACCGTCTAGAAAGGTCTTCAAAGGTTTTCCACCTTTATTCAGCACCCCAGACCATCCCAGATTTCCAAAAACAGTGACATCCCAAGTGTTTGTTGGCTGTTGTTACACATTCCATTGTTACACAATTGTCACTGTGAGAAGATTCTTCCTTATAATTAACTCATCCTTCAAGCTGTCATGTAACTCTTCCTATTGTGGCAAATGTTAGAATAAATGAAACAGAGGAACAGAGCTGAACACAGGGGCAGCAGGCAGCACGTGACAGCAAAAGAAAAAGTGAGCACAGTGCAAATAAGCCGTCAAGCGGCGCCCACCGAGCTGCTAGGATAGCACCCATCAAAGGTGTGCAGGGAGAGGAGTAGAGAGATGAAAAGAAAACGATGAGAACACCCACAGAGCACGTAAGAATCTGCCCACGAGGGCAGAAAATCCCTAGAAACAATACTCCCCAGAGGCTGCTAAAACCACAACAGACCAAAACACTTCAAGAAATGTCAGCCTGCTCAGCCAATGGTCTCAAGACCAAGAGGGAAAATAGATAAGGGTTGTCCTCAAACCAGAAAATCATTAAACTCCCAGAAATCATAACATTCTTATACCATTTGTTCCTGTACAAAACTAAAGCTATCATGAGACACAGTGAAGTATAGCAAGTCATGACCAAAAGGATAAAAATAGATGGGACTTGAACTTCATCTACCAGTCTCCTGAATTATTAGTGGTATTATTGGCTTCCTAGACAGAGGGAGGCTCAAAAGTCAAAAGTCAACCTCCTTTGGTATTGGTTACTTATTGCGGGGTATCTGACTTTGGGTGTACATGTTTATTTAAATTATTCAGCAAACTGGATGAGACTGTATCTTTTTAATGAGCCTATTAGAGGCCAAATAAAATAATTTATGGGAAATTCTTGTGAAGGAGATATCCCTATGAAGATATATAGAATATTGGTATAAGTAGTTATGCTGCTGCTGATAGTAATAAGGGTGGTGGGAGTAGTAATAGTGGTAATGCTGGTGGTTGTTATAAAGTTCCCATGTAAGAATAGTACCCCAATATGAACTAGAGACATGGGTTATTGACTCCCAGTTCGATCTACCTGCCCCCTTTACCCAACAGAGAAGAGAAAGGGATTGCAGAATTAGCATAGGGAGGACATTACACAGCATTGAGCAGCTCTCATTTCTTACCCAGCGGTTCTTTCTCCTGGACCTCAAATACAGTCACTGCAGATGGACATGTAGGTGGATTATCATTAATGTCTTTAACTTTTACATGAATCTCCAGAGGCCTTGCAAGTGGTTGTCCTTGTTCATCCCTTGCAACTGCATAAAAATTATACTACAACAGGAAGGTAAGAGTTAAGATAAGACTCTCTTGCCACCACCCTTTAAAAGGCAGAGAAAAATAGATATTTCGTTTCTATTTCACTTGCCCCCTTATTTTCAGTTGCCTTAGGAAAAAAAAACGAGATAGGTCAGAATCATGGGAAAATTACCAAATTAGAATGTCATTGAAAGCCAATAATATGCTGGGGTCTGGATTGCAGAGTTGATTTTTAAATAAAACCAATTTTGTTCTCAACTACAGGTAGACATAGGACTTTGTCTTATTCCCTGTGAAACTTGTCCCACTTTACTCACTGAATCCTTTTCTTCCCGGTCCAAGGGTTGAGTCACGTAAATGTCTCCTTCCTGATCAATCGAAAATGGGAATCTTGGTAGCTTCTCTTTGTCCACTAGGGAATAATGTGCACCAAGATCATTCCACCTCACCTACCGGGCCCAAAGTGAGTTGTGAAGAAAGAGATACATTTAGGCAGAGAGAACTAGAAAGGAAATAAACAATTTTTCTGGTTCTTGATTTAAAATTTCTGGCAACTTTGTTTGTATGTCTGTGGTTTCCTATAACAACTCAATTACATTTTTCATTTTCAACCTAAAATGAGTGCTTTTTTCCCCACCAAGTTATACGGCTCATAAAAAAGCACACCAGGGGACTTTTCTTCTCTATAACAATTCTTTGTGAACCCTCTACAGAGTTTATGGGTTGTTTTCTTTTGGAAGTCTCACTGTGAAAGCTTCATGTCCATGAAACATTGATTTAAGAAACAAAAACTAAGAGGTGATATATGAAGACCTTCTAAAACTCACTGGTGATGGTGAATAAGAGCAAGAGAGGCCACTCTGGACTCCTCTCTGTGCAATTATTTCAGTAAGACAAATGATACGTAAATAAGGCACAGTCATTCCTCCCCTAAATATTTAGTCTTAAAGACTTCAGGGATAAGAATAACTTTCAACTTTCAATAACTTTCAGGTTAAAAGATTAATAAGACCAGGCTACTTGCCATATAAGCAAGGCCTGACCTCTCAGATAATCTAATACTGATGCTAATAATAATATTTATTATTGGTTTACCACATGCCAGATGTAATTCTAAACATTTTATGGATTGCCTCATTTAATCCTCAAACAGTCCTAAGAAGCAGAGGCTACTGTTATCCCCATTTTAGAAATGAAGAGGCAAGAGCAAAATAAATTGAAGAGACTTGCCCAAGATCCTACAACTAGTTGAAATTTCCACACCTAACTATTCCCTGAGACCAGCCTGGGAAAGTACCAAAGACATGACTTTGTCCCTCCCTAGTCATTTAAGTATCACCCACTGTCCATGCCAAACACTATGTTCTTGGTCCTAACGTGAGCTCGTCTTGTGTGCTTAGAACTCGGCCTGATTTCTTTTTTCTTGAGAGAGCAGGACATAGCTCCACTCCTCTTATTGGGTTTCAGGCCTAGAAATTGGGTGTGACACCCAGAATGTCCTTTTTTTTTGACAACCCTAAGAGCAACCAAGTGTATGAGTTACTTTTAGCATTTACAAATCCCTATGGGATAACTTGAATAATAGCTAGGAATACTTTAGGGCCCAAGCCTGAAATTCTCATGGTAATAAAGACTAACAAGCTTTCTTAGCTGAGAAAGCACAATTCCTTTCTGTTTTTTTCCTGAAGATGAAGTTCATTAACTCAATATTCAATGAAAAGTCCCTTTAGATAAGACAATAGATATGATGGGAGGAGCATTCCAGGGTCCCTTAACGATAATAGTATCATTAAAAAAATATTTTAGGGGAACTACAGACTATCACTTTATAACATCTTTTTATCTTTTATCATTAATATTCATGATAATCATTACCATCTTTTATCCACTTTCACAGATACTACCTCAGTAAATCTTCAAAACACTGAGAGAAGTTGGTGAGGGTACATGAGGTTCCCTGAAAGCTCAAATATATATCTGAATCTAAGCTTTCTGCCCATGGTGGTGAAGTCCAGAGACTTGGGGCCAGAGGCTACTCCATTTACTTTATAATTATGCTATGCAAAAACATATCAAATACACATAGCAGTGGAGACTGTGGAGGCCATGAGTGTGGGGCTCCACAGAGTGAGGCCCTTTTAGTTAGTAGTCTCCAAGGGTTACTTGGGTCCTACCTGAGTGACTTTGATGGGGTGAGGCGCCGTTGAGTTTTCTACTATCTCCACAGGTGCTGGTGCTTTCCAAATATTCTCCGTCACCATAATATTCACTGATGTGGTGTCACTGAAGGAATTTTCATTCTGTCCTCCCATGTCCTTCACTGAGACCACCAGATTGTAGGAAGGGTTCTTAATAGGATCCAATTCTAGAGCTCCTATGGGACGTTTTTGGTGAGAAGAAAACAGACACTTTCAGAGATGTACCTCAGTCCCTTGTTCTGACTAAGAAAGTCCCAGAGGGCACCCCTCAGTGTACCTTCTCGGGTAAGTGAGATTGCCCCGGTTTTGTCGTTGATCTGAAAGTACATGACATTGTTGATCTTGGGCATCTGGATGACAATTTCATAAAAAAGCTGGCCATTGGGAGTGGCTGGATCATCCAGGTCTGTAGCATTGACGTACATGAAGGGCTTTCCTGTTGGGCACGGAGAGGATGGGGGGAGAAAGATTAATTGCAACCTAAACCAACCATAACCATTTTTGCCTTCTAAGCAGAGATAGAGTGGAAGAAGGTGTGATAATTCATAGTAGTGGGGAAATAAACCTTTTTTCTGCTCCTGTCCCTTAGGATAGGATTTCCCAAAGTATGGACCTTTAGGGGTCCTTGAAACTGTTTCAAGGGGTCTACAAAGTTAAAAATCATTTATGTGTAAAAACTCAAAGTACAAGATAATTTATTGTAAAGAAATACAAAACGTCATTGACATGGTTTCAGATTCTACATTGCCACTAATCTTTAAGAAACCATGACTTGTTGAGTTTGGTACCGTATCACAGAATGTCCACACTTATCTGAAAATGCTACTAAAGTATTCACCTCTTCTAACTACAGATATATAGGAGGCTAGTTTTTCTTCATGTGCCACAACCAAAATATCAAATGGCAACAGAATGAATGTAGAAACACACAGAAGAATTTAGTTGTTTTCTATTAATTTACACATTAAGAGATTTGGAAAGGTTAAAACAATGCCATTCATCTCACTAAATTAATTTTGTCTTAAAAGTTGTTATTTTTGTTAAAATATATTTATTAGTATTAGATGAATTAAATATTTTTTAATTTTTCAGTTTTAATTTTTAACAAATATTGATAGATCTTACCAGTGACATACTAGAGTCAGCTCATGAAAGCCAACTGTTGAATTTTCAGATATTCTGTGACTCCATAAAAATGGTAAAGAAGATAAATTATATACATATATTTTACCTTAATAAAAAATTTTTTTAAAAAGAAGTTTTGTGAGTCATTTTTTAACACCAGTGGTAGTTTGACATAGGCCACAGTGGGAGTATTTGTGTCATAGAAATTGGCAAATGCTATCACAAGAATGGAGAAGAATCCAATGTACTCAATTCTGATATGAGGACAAGTGATGCTAGTACATGGTGGGGGAGGGAGAATAAGGGAACAGAGAGAGGGAAGGAGGGAGGAAGGTGGGGGACCACAGTGTGTGACACACCCCTTGGGGACACAACACTATTATTCGAGGGACTTTATCCAGCAAATGCAAGCAATGTAACCTGGCTCTTTGTACCCTCAATGATTCTCCAACAATAAAAAACAAAAAAGAAATCTATAAATGCTACACATCAGAATTTTGCTTCCTCCATCCCCTTGAGAAACAGCTCAATGTTAAACATTTACCAGACCATCACTGGATAGAACCCCCAAGTCTAAGAGTTCTTTGGAGACTTTAGTGTGCAATCTCAGGTCCAGGGACAGCAAAATTGCTCTATGTAATAAAGTAGAAGGAAAATTTTCCCTGAATTACTGGAAGTAGGCACTGAAGACTAAGAGAAGAGTAAATAACATAAAGGGAAGCTTGACAGCGAGTTGGTGGAAATGGGCTGGAGTCCTGTTTTGTGCACAGTTATGATGAGATTCATTCCTAGCTGCCTGCTTGGATAAAGGGCTTCTGTGCCCATGGAGGTACAAGGTCACTGCTGTGTAAAGAAGGACTAAGCCAGGAGGCAGGTGTAATAGGAAAAAAAAACAAAAAAACTGGGAACCAGCAGTGACTATGATAAAGTTCTTGACAGCATATGCGAGAGTGAGCTCACCTTTCCAGAATGTTCTAGAGCTCTAAGGTATTTTTAAAAACTCACCCTAGAAAACTCTTTCTCATATGGGGGCTATTTTGCCCCCCAGAGGGAATTTAGCATCATCTGGAGACATTTCTTTTAAATTTCAGATTAATGAGAGGTACAGACAATTAGGTTACAATGTTTGCATTTATTAGGTAGAGTCCCTATTATACTTGTGTCCCACCCTCAAGAGGTGTGCCATATATCCTTACATTGTGCCCATTATGTGGGAGTACACCAATCCCTCTCCTCCTTCCCTCCTTCCTCCTCCTCTCACCTCAAATTGAGTTGAGGTATCAGATCATCTACTGGCTTCATATTAGTATTGAGTACACTGGACACTTATTTTTTCCATTCTTGTGATACTTTACTAAGAAAAATGTGTTTCAACTCCATCATGGTTAATACAAAAGATGTAAAGTGGAGACATTCTTATTATGGCAACTTGGGGGAGGACTGTTATTGGCATCTAGCGGATAGAGGTCTGGGATGCCGTTAATCATCCTGCAGTGGACAGAACAGTCCCCGACAAAAAAAGAATTATCAGGCTCAAAATGTCAGTACATAGTGCCAAGGTCCAGAAATCAAGCTCTGGAATAATGGGAACAAGAAAACAACCCCCAGAAGATGAGTGTGAAGGTACAATAAGATGGGAGGTGCTTAGTGAGTTCCTGCTGCAGCCATCAGCCACACAAATCTGTCCCTTCCACCTGGCACCCTTCCATCTCTCCATAAACATTTCCCAGCTCCAGCCTGTTACCTGGACGAGAGTTCTGCCTCACTGAGCCTTCGTATTTGGACTGGAGGAACGTGGGTCTGTTGTCATTGATGTCCTTCACTTCTATGGTGATGGGGACGGGGCCTTCTACTATAGCTCCATTAGCATCCACGGTTGCAACCTGATGTTGAGAAAAAAACACACCCAGAAGTCATTCAAAGGAAATTAGAGCTCAACACCCAATGGCCTGGTGACCGCAGGGAAGAAGGAACCCACAGAAGCCCAGATTGGGAGCTGCTAAAACAGGGGCCCTGTGAGTTCAGCCTGGGTAGTCATGACAGTGACTCTCCCACCGTGGGGTATGGTCGACACTGGATATGCTTCTGTTCCTAACTGGCTGGAGTTGGTGAAATGAGAGCACTTTCATTCTGAGCCTCTGGAAATGCCATGTCATCTGACAGAGCCATTAGGATGGGTCAGCTTGTAGCCCATAGCAGGAGGAACCACACAGAGCACTTTGGCTGCTGCTTTTCCACACAGTTAGCTGTCTGTTATTTCTAGGTATTCATACATCAACCATGAAAACCAAGTGGGAACAAGAAGGAAAAAGGGTCTATTTGGTCAGCCTTTGTCTGTGGGTTCCTTCTGCTTCTTTCAAGGACCATAGGAGCTCTGTCCCAGCACTGATGCCACTTTCTTTGTGAGTCCAGGACCCACATAATAGACACTAGCAGGTCCCAGGAAAGTATCAGAAAAGCTCTGGCTTGGTTTTAATTCAGGTGCCTGAACATGGCCTTACTTGGCTGAGTAACATAATAACATCAGAGGGTCCTAGCAATGTATAATATATTGGGTTGCTCTGGTTAAAAAGCCTAAAGAAATGGGTACTTCTGCCATGCTCCTCTGCAACTGGTAAAAAAAATGGCTATATGAGGTTCACAAACTATGCCATTAATGTTAGGGGAGCTATAATATAGGATTGTATGCAAGGGATGAGATGCCAGTGATACTTCTAGAACAAAAGGTGCTCAGAGAGGTTGAGTTAGGTCCCTTTGTCTGGTCTCAATTTACCTGGAGATTGTGAATAGATCTTGTTTCTCTGTCCAGGGCTTTAGTGAGATATAGAAGTCCATTTGGCTCTATCTTAAATATGTTGTCTGTCTCCCCAGTTAGTTCAAAATTCACAGCAGGAGGATTGACCTTAAACTGAGAAAAAAGCAAAAAATAAGTTAGGTTGTAAGAAAAAATTATGTCATGAAATTTGTACAATAGAGTCATCAATTTTGGTTAAAGTTTTATTTGTACCATCACTAAATAAGAAATCCTCAGCTTTTAAATTGGTACATTCTAAAAATGTACCAATTAATTGTGTTACGTTCAAAATACATTTTCCTCAAGAAACAATGTGTAATGTAATTCAACACATTGACAAAAGCATTGATGCTTTAAATTGTAGCATTAAAGGAGATTATGCTGAGAGTATTTTTTTTTTTAATTGAATGGTAACTATGTACATTAATGCACTTCTGGGGTACAGTGTGGGGTTTTCACACACAATCCGAAACACTTTCATCAAACAGGTTAACATAGCCTTCATGTCATTTTCTTAGTTATTGTTTTAAAACGTTCACATTCTACTCTTAGAAACGCTGAGAGTATTTTAAGTGTTTAGTTTTCACTTGACCTTTGAACTCACTCACTACCCATAATTTTTCCCTTGGGGCTTTTGTTGAAAGTGATAACATTGATAGCTTCTAAGAAACATTCAAAAAGGCAACTCTATTGCTAGCATAAAAAGATATCATTTAAGACTTCTAAGGTGGCACCTATGGCTCAACAGAGTAAGGCATTGGCCCCATATGCCAGAGGTGGTGGGTTCAAACCCAGACCCAGCCAAAAACTGCAAAAAAAAAAAAAAAAAAAAAGATTTCTAAAAATTTTGACAAAGATTAATAGATATATTAAGAAAAACAATTCATAAGTGACTTAAACTTGATGTGACACTATATGATATTCTTTTAATTATGAATACGATACTATATGATATTCTTTTAATTATTTTCAGAAGCAAGGAAAATATCAACCATTATATTCATGGATATAGCTTTCTAAAGCCACAATAATAAATAACTCACATAAACCTAAGAAGACATAAAAGTTGTTCAACCTCATTAAGGTTTAATATGTTTATACATTTTTATTAACAAGCTAAAAGCAATAATGACAATATTATTAAAGATACAAAGAAACATTGTTGATAGAAATATAAATTCATAGAATCCTTTGGGAAATAACTTGAAGCAAAAAATGTTGGTAGCCTTTGACATTATCCTAAGGAATTTTTTTTTAAACAATATACTACATGCTTATAGTATAAGTAGCTTTATTTGTAATACTGGTAAAGTTGAAAACTTCTAAATGGTCAGGAAAAAACCAGTGAAATTATGATAGCACATAAACTTGATAGAATAATACTGTTAAAATGTTTATTCTACAAATTATGAAAAAACATAAGAAATAATGATGTGATAAAAGGAACAAGAGTAAATTTAAGAGTAAATCTAGACTATGATTGTAATGGTACCCACAGTGTCCACGTCGGTAGGCACAAATGGAATTTTTTTTTTTTTTTGAGACAGAGCCTCAAGCTGTCCCCCTGGGTAGAGTACCATGGCATCTCAGCTCACAGCAACCTCCAACTCCTGGGCTTAAGCGAGTCTCCTGCCTCAGCCTCCCAAGTAGCTGGGACCACAGG